AGTAATAGTATATGCAGTGATACACAAATAACCCGCGCATAGGAGAGGGGAGTTTATGACGACGTTTCGGTCCGACTTGAACCATTTACAGTCATACTAACAGAAAGGAGAGAAGGAGGCAGTATATATAGGCTGGCTTATAGGTTAGGCTAGGTTAGGTTAGGATCGGTTTGGTTAGACTAGGTTTAGTTAGGTTAGTTTAGGTTTGTTGAGGTAAAATAAGGTTCGTTAAGGTGCTTATGCTAGTTAGATTAGGTTAAAATAAGTAATTTAGATTAGGTTTTAAGAGATGGCTATGTTATACTACATTATGTTAGCCTGGTTAATTAAGTTAGGCATTTCTCCTATTCGTAAGTTAGCTTCTTAAGTAGAATTTTCATTACCTAGAATTTCGTTTTTCTAGATATAACAGTTCTACTTTGAACGTCTTCAATGCAATTTTCATTGTACTATATCTTTTGTTACATTAGCAATGTTTGCTCTCCAAAAAGCCAAGCAGGAAGGAAACGTCAATGTAACCGGTCATAACTAACAATATAACGAAATTTAACGTAACTGGCTAATCTAAACAGTAGATATAGGAACGTACATTGCATACTGTTTAGAGAGACACTTGAGTAAACACTAGGACGTACTAGAAAACGTTTCAGTCCTGGGACTGGTATCAATTACCAATGCTTATACCAACAATTATATATTATTTTGAAATCATATTCATCTATATATCTTGAAATCCCCGCTAATATAAAAAAAAAACATTAACTAATTTGCAAATTTGATCTAAGCTAAGGTGCTTAGGAAACTGCGTTATTTTTAAATTATTTATTTTTGAGAAATATGAAATGAGAATTTTCATCTAGGCTTTCTGAATATTTGAGAGGTGAAATGAATAAAGGCAGAGTTTTAATTAAATCTTCGCCTCATTTGGTGAGATCAGTCAGGTTATGGCAGTTTATTTGACGCTTAATTTTCCCAAGATTGAGTCAGGGTGTGTTTCTGACAGCAGCCCTGAAAGTGCTAAAACAAATCTATACGTCTGAGTTTAAAAAGCCAAGATACCATTTAGGTCGAGGACTAAACGAAAGTTGTTATATGCTTTCCCATATACTCGCAGTGAACATAACGGAGGAGCATTGTAGCAGGCCTACTGGCCCATACAGGGCCGGTCCTTCTCATAACTAACCATTCTCACTCATATATTTATCCAGCCAAAACTACACAAGGATTTGCTTCAGTACCTGAGATACTGATCAAGCCCAGCCCTTCTTATATATTTGTCTAATCTCTTCTAAAGCTACCCTAGGCCTTAGTTTCTATTATGGTTTTTAATAAACTCCTGCATATATTGACCACTTTGTCTGAAAACCACACACACACACACACACACACACACACACACACACACACACACACACACACACACACACACACACACACACACACACACACACACACACACACACACACAGTGGACTGGTGGATGAACCTGGGAGGGAAGATCGGATGGCAGAGCTCAAGAAAAGATAGGAAGAGTGGGGAATGAAGCTAGAAGGGCTTAGCGAGAAAATGGAGGAGAGGATTGCTGCAGAGAACAGGAAATGAGAGCTACAAGCCATAGGAGCAGAGACTAAGATACAGAGTTTAGAAGAGGAACTAAAAAAATATGAAACAGTCTAAGGAACTGAAGATCAGTACAGGCATGACATCAGGAACTGCTACATAAGTCACAGACTTGGAGACTGTAGGGAAGAAAGGAGCTATACTGTATGCAGAGGCCCTATCAGACCACCGTGGTGCCCAGGAAAAGGCAAGGAGCACACCAGGAACAAATGAGAAGACTAATGAAAATGAAGGTGCTAAGCCATATGCAGAGACCCTAACAGACCACAGCAGTGCCCAGGAAAGGTTGAGAAGGAAATATGACAGACCACTGAGCACAGAGACATCAGCTAGAGAAGAGATTGAAGGAAGGAATGCTGCAATGGAGGCAACTAAATCGTCTCAGGGAATGCAAAGGGAAATGCAGTGGGAGGATGAAAGGGAGAGGTCAGTTTTTGTTTATGGGCTCCAGAAAGTTGAAGGGGAAACATATGAAGCAAGAAGAGAGGAGGTGAAAAAAAGCGATTGAAAGTATCATGGAAGCAATAAGAGAGGACGACACAACCCAGTTGACAAATTTTCTGATAATGGGGTGGTTTGCAAGAGGAAAAAACCGGTTAATCAAGGTGATTTTCAAGGCAGAATCAGCTCGAAACAGGATCCTGCACGACTGAGGGACATACTAATGTACCAGAGGGTGTACCTCGACCATAACAGAACACAAGAAGAAGGGCAGGAACTGAAAGAGAGGGTACAAACACTCAAGGAGGAACGAGAGGCAAAGATGGAGATGAGCAGGAGAACCCATACTCAAGAGGAAGAGCAAATACAACCTCCCTCAGAACCACCCACAGAAGGGCCTCAACCACGACAACCCCACTGCAACCAAACAGTCTAACCAAAACTCACACAATGTACCCTCTGACCCCACCACCCCATCACAAACTCCACCCCCACAGCAACCCCCCACATAGTTCCCCACCAGGTCTCCCATTCCCCCAACCCCAATGTTCTCCCCAAACCACAGCTTTAGAAAAGAAGTTGAAGCTTTGGTATATGAATGCAGATGGAATAACAAATAAGTGTGAGGAGTGGCATGAAAAAATCAAGGAGACGTCCCCAGACATCATAGCAGTCACAGAAACAAAACTCACTGGGATAACAGACACAATCTTCCCACCTGGATATCAGATCCTGAGGAAAGACAGAGGGAGCAGAGGGGGAGGAAGAGTTGCACTGCTCATTAATAACCAATGGAGATTTGAGAAAATGGAAGGAATGAACGAAATTGGAGAAAGGGACTACATAGTAGGTGCAATTTAGTCTGGAGGATGTATAGCCCATCATAAAACTGCAGGAGGCCAAGAGAAGAATAAGAAGAGAGCGACAGAGCTTTGGTGGACACACTAGAGACAGATGTTCCAGAGATGGGACATAGAAACAAGGGGCCACAATTGAAAGTTGAAGAATCAGATGAGCCAAAGGGATGTTAGGAAGTATTTCTTTAGTCACAGAGATGTCAGGAAGTGGAATAGTAGGGCAAGTGATGTAGTGGAGGCAGGAGCCATACATAGTCTTAAGACGAGGTTTGATAAAGCTCATGGAGCAGAGAGAGGTAGGACCTAGTAGCGATCAGTGAAGAGGCGTGACCAGGAGCTATGAATCGACCCCTGCAACCACAAATAGGTGAGTACAAATAGGTGAGTACTCACACACACACACACACACACACACACACACACACACACACACACACACACACACACACACACACACACACACACACACACACACACACAAACACACACACACACACACACAAACACACACACACACACACACACATATTAAAAAGTGGAATGACCTAAACGAGAAAGTTGCGGAGGCACGATATACACACAACTTTAAGAATTGGTATGAAGACGCTCACGAGGGAAGAAATTTAACGACCCCAGTCGTGACTAGATAGGAAACATGAGCTGATACCACGAGTACAAATTACCGAGTACACAAACATGCCAGGCAAAAATTGCTGCAGAAACTCTGGGAAAACAACTGGAGAAAAGTTGGTGGAGCATCTAGAGTGGAAAAATAAATGCTTTTCCGAACAGTTCGTATCAGAAAAAAATACGTGTGGAACACATTCAGGAACGGCGATAATGCCACAGGATTTATATAAACAAAACAGATGGACAGATCCCACTTTTATACGCACAAAATATTTGATAGATTTTTTCCTTGAAACGCTAATTTAGTAGTGGGAAATTATGGCAGGAATAAAAACCAAATAATTACAATGATGAGGTGTTTGAATTTAAAATAAAAGAGTGAAAGAATAAAAATATTCTCATGATCAGTACTTGTCATGATGTTCTCATGATCAGTACTTGTCATGATGTTCTCATGATCAGTACTTGTTATGATGTTCTCATGATCAGTACTTGTCATGATGTTCTCATGATCAGTACTTGTCATGATATTCTCATGATCAGTACTTGTCATGATGTTCTCATGATCAGTACTTGTCATGATGTTCTCATGATCAGTACTTGTCATGATGTTCTCATTATCAGTACTTGTCATGATGTTCTCATGATCAGTACTTGTCATGATGTCCTCATGATCAGTACTTGTCATGATGTTCTCATGATCAGTACTTGTCATGATGTTCTCATGATCAGTACTTGTCATGATGTCCTCATGATCAGTACTTGTCATGATGTTCTCATGATCGATACAGGAACGATATGCTAGACGAGAAACTGTACTATGTATCTCTTAAACGTTGATGTAATAATAAACTCTGATTGTGACAAAGAAATAATAGAGTATCTGAATAAACATCAGGTCTGATCAAACAAATGGTCACTGGAATTATAATCAGTGCAAATGAATGTTATAATTAATTGGGAAGAGAAAAGAAGACTGGAAAATAACTGTCTAGTGGGCAGCGGCTGCAAACCTGACTCAAGTAGAAGAGCTTTGGGGGTTAGCGCATTACCAAGCAGTGCTCGTTTGATGACCTTAGGTTTTATTATCCTACATGCAAAATATATCTGTCCTGTCGAGGTGTATACAGCACCAGATCTGAACAAGCCAAGAAACCGACGAATGTGTAAATATTTGCAACGAGCCTATTCCCAGAGTTGAGGAGAGTCAACTACGAGGAGAGAATAGTACTGAGTCTGATGACAATAGCGCATAGCATGTCAGGATATCAGGAAATATTTCTTCAACATTATCATATATAAATGTCAACATAATAAACATAAACAGTGCAATTTATGTGAGTCAAGTCGTTTTTGTTCACTGTAAAAATGTGAAAAAATTAAATATTTCTTACAGATTGGATCATTACCAGTAATAGACTCCAGGGAGGCCTCTAAGGCCAAAACATTTACCTGGATAAGGCTCGGGTAGGCCTGGAAAATACTCTTGGTTCCTCCTGGCTGGCACCTCCAAGATATCCCACTCCACAGACATGTAGAACTCCCTCAGGTCAATGCCGATCATCACAATGTTGCTCCCCTTGATTTGTTTACTGTGTTTTAGGTCCACCTGTAATGTAGGAAAGTGTCAACTGTGGTGGAAGATTTATATTTTTACACTTGATCAATCCATGGAAAGGGGAGACAAATGCAAGGTTGAAAATAGGTGAAATGGAAGTTGATTTTTAATAATGTCTAAAGGGGCTGGGATTGAGGACAGTAGAAGTCAACTGGTCAGGTCGTGTTATGACCCAGGTAATAGAGTGCTGGCTTGCCAGCGGGAGATTAAAGCACATCTTGACAAGGGTCAACACAATAAGCAGCGGGTAAAAAGGGCATTTGGGTGTTTCCAGGCGACCCAAGACAAAATGGATGCCTCAGTAAACTGGATTATCCCAACTGGAGAGTGACTCTCTCGCTCTCTCTCTCTCTCTCCCCCTTTGAAACTCTCTCTCTCTCTCTCTCTCTCTCTCTTGTTTACAAGTTAAGAGCTGTTACCTTCATCAACTCATTGGAAAGCCTATATATTGTTATGAAACATACGAATAGGAAACAGGATGAAGTTAGAGTCATCTGTGGACCAGCGATTTCATTTGGTTTGTGTCATGGTCTGTCACAAACGAATTATGGGTGAAAAACAGACCTTCATATAATAACATTCTTGTAGAGGACCAGAGGAAGTCCTAATCAGGGCTATAAAAGACTGAAAATTAGCAAAAGTTACCCCAGCGTTTAAAAAAGCACGAAAACTTGTGCCCTAAACTTTCATCTTACCAGCTTAACGTCAGTTTTAGTTAAATGAAAATTAACATTAAGCTCAGAATAGTTAATTTTATGGGAAACAATTGATTTGTAAAAGAAAACCAGTAATGATTCCTCAACGAAGATCATGCCAGCCTAACTTATTCAAATTTTCCTTTCATATACTCAAATATAAGGATGAGAAAAACCCAACAAGTGAAGTATGATTAGATTTCCAGAAGAACTTCGATAATTTACGCTCTCGACGATTACTCGCAAAAATAAAAAAAAATGCATTGTACAGGAGAGAAATTACATGCTAGGATGAGTGTCTGGTTCACAGACAGGAAACAGAGAGTGGTAGATAATGGAGAGGTGTCTGGGTGGGTAGACTTCAAGAATGGATCGGTTCTTATAATAATAATAATAATAATAATAATAATAATAATAATAATAATAATAATAATAATAATAATAATAATAATAATAATAATAATAAATAATAATAAATAATAATATATTTATTTATTTACTACAAGTACATGTACAAGGTACACAGACCATAGCTGACATCAGTGACATACTACTATATAGAAAGCCCCTTGTTATGCTGAGCATTTCGGGTTAATTAGGGCAGTTTTGTCCCAGGATGCGACCCACACCAGTCCACTAACACCCAGGTACCAATTTTAAACTGATGGGTGAACAGGGACAGGGACAGCAGGTGTCTTATGGAAACACGTCCCTAATGCTTTCCAGCCGTACCGGAGGAGATTCGAAACCGGACCTAAGCGTGTGAACTGAGTACGCTAGTGATCGAGCTACGGTCTTGGTCTAATCCTTTTCACACTGTACAAAAATAGTCTCAGTTTAGGGTTAACATCTAAGAAAAAATTTGCTTATGACAGCAAATTGGAGAAGAGTGCAAAATCCAAGGCAGATTGAGTAAACCGCCGAACGGGTGGGGTTTAAACTCATGGCGGATGAGTTTTACGACTCACTCGCCATGTGTTTGTTTGCACTCATGTTATTACGATTTCGTGAGTCAAGATGGCGGACTGAGTATTCAAAGTGATCTGTTCAGGTTGACAGAAAATAATATCGAAATACAGGAGGAAGAAAAAAATTAAAAAAAAAAAAAAAATAATCCAGGCAATCTCTTGAGAATATTTAATTATTTCAAGTTAGAGAGAGAGAGAGAGAGAGAGAGAGAGAGAGAGAGAGAGAGAGAGAGAGAGAGAGAGAGAGAGAGAGAGAGAGGAGAGAGAGAGAGAGAGAGAGAGAGAGAGAGGAGGGGGGGAAGGGAGAGGAAGGGAGAGAGAGAAACGAAGATGATAACCCCTGAAACTATTAAGAAGATCACCTATGGGTGTAACCTTGAGCTTAATCGCCGAACTCTCTCGACACACAAACCCAACAATTACTCAAGCACAGAATGCTATCGAAATCAGTAAATGGCAGATCCTTGTTTGTCAGAGGACGGCTCGAAGGAGAGTAATGGTAGGGAGAGTTATGGTAGGGAGAGTAATGGTAGAGAAGGTAATGGTAAAGAGAGCCATGGTAGAGAGAGAGAGAAATGATAGGAAGGTATCGCTTGCCACAGTGATAATGGGAAGTCATTCCATTATTAATAGCTTCGCTAAATCATCGAGGAGTGTCCAATTAAGTGAGCATTTGTCCCAGGATTATCACTTTGAAACCTGTGTCTGTCTTCTCTTTCTTTACGTCAATACTTTTCTTGAATATTATTATAAATATATATATATATATATATATATATATATATATATATATATATATATATAATATATATATATATATATATATATATATATATATATATATATATATATATATATATATATATATGTAATAAGATCACAGTAAACAGGTGATATCAGAATATGTAAAAAACCACTCTGAAAGAATAGAGAAATTCTAAGCGCTTTCGTGACTACTCACATTATCAAGGATATGATAATGTGAGTAGTCACGAAAGCGCTTGGAATTTCTCTATTCTTTCAGAGTGGTTGTTTTGCATATATATATATATATATATATATATATATATATATATATATATATTATATATATATATATATATATATATATATATATATATATATATATATATATATATATATATATATATATGTGCAAGGAATTCGCGAGAGCATGCGAAATATACACAAACAGAGATCATTGTTTATATATATATATAATATATATATATATATATATATATATATATATATATATATATATATAAATATATATATCATTAATTAATGATAAAATAGTGAATATAAAATATGTAAACATTACACCAACATATTGAATCAGAAAGTAGATATCTTCCATCTCGTTGGAATTTGGTTGGGAGTTAAGGTGTACGAGGCATTTTCTCTCTGGTTCACTTTACTGAGACGCTGAAGCAGCTAGATGGTAACCTTTAGGTCTTTGTTATTCACAAAGAGAGTCTTTGAACCCTTTCGCTAAAGCAGAGAGTAGTACCTTCGTGCTAGGCACCAAAGCATCCTCGATCCTACTTTAACAATATTGTGTCAGTAGCCCATCTCGCCTTACTTATTTCATTTATGTTCTTCCCTGTGATTAGCAGCACAAAACTTTTAGCTCAAATTTAAATGGATATAGGTGGCAAGCCAGTTTGTGATTATTCATTATGGTGGATAAGAGGATTTCCAGTAAGGCGGAACAATATTAAGGTTTTCTTTCAGGGAGGCAATCAGCTGTAGCGAAGCTCCTCTGTATTACGTCATACACTTCGTTGTGGTTTACAAGCAGGTCACCTGTTTTCAGGTTCACTTGTATTCAGTGAGAAGGGGAGAAACGAAGTTGAAGTCACTACAGCGAGGACGTTCTTTTGATCAAGACGAGAGCCTAGTGCCGAAATCGGAACTCTAATTGCAAAATCTCTAGAATGATGAGCACTGAGAAATTAAGACACATGTGCAACATCTGGGTATCTTTATTGTAGACGTTTCGCCATCCAGTGGCTTTATCAATACAAATTCCAGAACATAACTTGAAGACAGTAGAACTATATACAAAAGATGAGGCAATCAGTCCCTCAGCCTTGGAGTTGGTGCAAAGAGCACCGTAGTCGTGGAGATTCTGAAGCAGAGGCAAGGAGCCTGGCACTTATATACTAACGTCAGGTAGAAATGGGACGTGTAGCAGACGAGGGCATAGTCACTGGTAGGCGGGATTCCCCAGTGGAAGTAGGTCCTACCCAAAGAGATGGGTTAGTTGTAGTTGTAGTTGTCGTAGTCGTGAAGGTTATGTACATGTCCTCAGAATCAAGTATTTGCATTGATAAAGCCAATGGATGGCGAAACGTCTACAATAAAGATACCCAGATGTTGCACATGTGTCTATCTCTTCATCTTGTCGGTAATGTATACCATTTATGTACAACAATAATAAGCACTCTCGGCTGTGAAACAGGCTTTTGAGGGCAGTTGCTGCTTTGCGTATATCTTCATACAACAGGCTGTTCCACCTGTATTTTTTATGGGGCAGCTTTGTAGCTGGATGTAGTGCTGACGCCGTGTGTCTCTTTTCCTCAGTATTACCCCCATGCGAAGCTGAGGTCATATATACTAGCTAAATTATCCAGGGGGCCCAGTAGAAATTGCTCTACTAGTTTACTGGATGCTGTTTAAAAGGACACAAGGTTGAATGTCCTCCCAGCTTATCTAGTCTGACAGAAAGAGAAAACTTTCTTCCATTACGGTGGCCCGTGGCCTGGTGGCAAAAACTCTCGTTTCACACGGTGAGAGCCCGGGTTCGATTCCCGGCGAGGGTTGAAACACTGGGCGTATTTCCTTACACCGGTTGTCTATGTTCACCCATCAATATAAAATGGCTACCTGAGTGTTAGTCGACTGTTGTGGGTCGCATCCCGGGACAAAATTGACCTAATTTGTCAGAAATGCTCTGTATAAGAAGGGGTTTGCTATATAGTAGTATGTCATTGATGTCAGCTATGGTCTGTATACCTTGTACATGTACTTGTAGTAATAAAGATATTATTATTATTATTATTATTATTATTATTATTATTATTATTATTATTATTATTATTATTATTATTATTTTATTATTATTATTATTATTATTATTATTATTATTATTATTATTATTATTATTATTATTATTATTATTATTATTATTATTATTATTATTATTATTATTATTATTATTATTATTATTATTATTATTATTATTATTATTATTATTATTATTATTATTATTATAATTAATAATAATAATAATAATAATAATAATAATAATAATAATAATAAT